CAATTCTACTCTTAGTTGGGTGTTCGAACAACTGTGTAAAGTATGGATGATCAAGGGTAATCCCGAGTTGAAGCTTATTGGGTGTAAAGAGTATTGTGATTATCACCAAGAAAAGGGTCTTGACATTCAATGTTTCCATGAATCCTGAGAATTACTTCAAGAAATGATGAACAATGGTGAAATAGAATTCTTTGATCAAGAGGAGTGCAAAAGAAAGATGGATGTTTGCATGATGGATAGCTCTAATAAGACACAGGGAACAAGAAAAATCGTGGTCATCACAGTCAAGCCTAGAAATGAGACCTCATCGATAATGACTCCTAAAGTCATGATTATAACTTCGTCTCCTTTCCCATTTAAAGACACTCGACAAGTTCCTTGGAATTATGATACAAATGTGTCCCTTCCATGAAGGTCGAGACCCTCTAAAAGAATAGAAGAGGAGAAGAAACCAATCACTGAAGAGGTGAGTGAAGAGGTGAGTGAATAGGCCACTTGACAAAGAGTGAAAAATGTTATTCACCCGAGACGTCCACATAGGCAAATAAGGTAAAGGCCAAAGCCAAGGTAGTAGTGCCTAAAATCTTTAACGATGAAACTCCACCAGTAATTAATAGGCCAGTGACTGAGGCTCAAGCTCGTGATTTCCTGAGTTTCCTAAAGCATAGTGAGTACAACGTGGTAGAGCATCTTCACAAGCAGCATGTCAAAATCTCAATATTAGATTTGTTAATGAATTCTGAGGTACATTGAAATGGCTTGCCTGAATCGTGAGACATATAGTTGTATACAATTACATATCATTCACAGATGATGAGATCCCGAAAGGTCGGATGAGATCTGTCGAAGCTTTAAATATCACTACTCACTTCCACAACCATGTTTTGCCAGAAGTCTTAATAGACAATAGGTTTGCACTAAACGTAATGCCTTTGACTACGCTGTAGAGGTTGCCCATAGACAGCTCACACATGAGAGCTTACCACAATATTGTTAGGCCGTTTGATCAAACCCAAAAATATGTGATGGGAAAAATAGAGATACCATTTTTAATTGGACCTACTATCTGCAACATTGAATTTGTTATAATGAACATCCACCCGACATACAAATTCTTATTGGGGAGACCTTATATCTATTCTAAAGGAGTAGTCCCTTCATCTCTATATCAGAGGGTGAAATTCGTGATTGATGGAAAGCTGATAAGCATCGGGGCTGAAGAAGAAATCATTACTTCAGTAAAGGCTGATGCCCAATTCATCAACGTTAATGAGGACACCTTGGAATGCTCCTTTAGGGCCATAGAGTTCATCAATGTAGCATATATTGCTGAATGAAGCAAAATTCCATGCCCCATGCTATCTGATTATACCAATATGGAGATGAGATAGACTTTAGAAAGAGGGGCAAAAATCAAAAAATAAATGGGTAGGAATCTACAAGAAATGATACGACCCGTAGCCATTGAATGGAAGAGAGATTGTTTCAAGATCGGATTCAAGCCCACATTCAAACAGCATGGCCATGAACTGAGAAAGAGGGTAGAAGCAAGAAAGGCCAAAATGAAAGGTGAAGATATCCTTGGGGAACGTATGACATTCCCTCCTATATATATTTCTTTGAAATTCAAAGTGGTGTACGATATGGAGTAGCAACTGACCGATGCTATCAAGATTGGGGAGCTGATGAAATAGCAGAATATGATGGATGAGGCTTTAGAAGGATGTTCTGTCAACATGATTATTGGGGGCAACCAGCCTGGAAAGTTTTTAGCTGGAATTCATCATTGCTTCCCCAGAGAAGAACTCAACAACTAGACTGCGGAGGACCATCCTATAGTTTTTATGTCTAATTCAAACTAATGCTCAAGGTTAACTTTTATCAATACTTAAAAGTATCAAAATGACCTTTTTGTAGAAATTAATGTTATCAGAACTGATAAATGAAAGAAACTTTTCTTACGTCTCAATTGGCAATCATTTTCATTCTTCTCATTTTTGCATTGCACCATATTATTTATTCCATATTCTTTATTCTTCACATTCGTATCCCAATACATCCGAGCCAAATTTTATACAGATGTTACAATGATACTAGCATGAATGTTCCTGAATTCAGTCACTGGATAGATTTTGAGCGACCTTTGTGCCTGGAAGAAGTCTATGAGTGCAAAGATGAGGCATATTGTGATGTTCCTAATGAGTTATTAAGACTAATAGAAAATGAAGAGAAACAAATTCTACTCCACAAAGAAGAAATCGAGCTGGTGAATTTGGGAACAATAGAAATAAGGAGAGAGATAAAAATTGGCACTACTCTGTCTATAGGAATAAGGCAAGAATTGATAAGTTTGCTCCAATAGTTTAGGGACTTCTTTGCATGGTCATACCAAGATATGTATGGGTTAAGCAATGATATAGTAGTCCATAAACAGCCAATTAGACCAGAATTCAAGCCAGATCAGCAGAAACTCGGGAGAATAAGACCATAGATGCTATTAAAGATCAAAGAGGAAGTGACGAAACAGATTGACTCGAGTTTCCTTCAAAAGGAAAAGTATCATGAATGGGTAGTCAATATCGTCCCTGTACCTAAGAAAGATGGAAAGGTTCGCATGTGCTTGGATTATCGAGACCTTAATAGGGCTAGCACAAAAGACAATTTTCCCCTGTCTCATATAGATACTCTGGTGGATAACACTGTGAGGCATTCATGGTTTTCCTTTATGGATGGCTTCTTGGGATTTAATCAGATCAAAATGAATCCTGAAGACATGGAGAAAATGACATTTATAACCATGTGGTGCATTGTCTGCTATAAAGTGATGTCGTTTGGATTGAAAAACGATGGGGCAACCTATCAAAGAACCATAGTAACTCTCTTCCATGATATGATGCATAAGGAAATCTAAGTATACGTGGATGATATAATTGTAAAATCCTGACCCAAGGTAGAACATATACAGAACATAAGAAAACTCTTCCAAAGGATGATAAAGTAGTAATTAAAGCTCAATCCAGCAAAATGCATATTCAAGGTAAAATCATGGAAATTACTAAGCTTCATGGTGAGCCAGAAAGGAATCAAGATCAATCCAGACAAAGTCAATGAAATTCAAGATCTTCCTACACCTCGTAAGTAGAAAGAAGTTTAAGGGTTCCTTAGAAGACTAAACCATATATCTTAATTCATTTCTCAACTGATCGATAAGTGTGATTTGGTGTTCAGATTGCTCAGGAAGAATAAACCTGAGGTTTGGAAAGATGAATGCCAAGAGACTTTGGAGATTATCAAGAAATACTTCTCAATGCTTCAATCCTAGTAGCATCTATACCTGACAGGCCATTAATTCTCTAATTAACAGTTTTTGAGAATTCAATGGGGTGTGTATTGGGGAAACATGACAAATCAGGAAGAAATAAGAGAGCTATTTATTACTTAAGCAAGAAATTCACCGATTGTGAGACCCGGTACCCACCGATTTAAAAGTTGTGTTGTGTTTTAGTTTGGGCAACCCGAAGGCTTATGAAGTACATGTTATACCATAACACATGGTTAATATCGAGGATGGATCCATTAAAAATTTTAATGGAATCTCCCGCCTTGACTGACAGACTGGCTAGGTGGAAGATGTTGTTATCTGAGTTTGATATTGTGTGTGTGAGCTAAAAGGCAATAAAAGGGAGTGTCATATCCGATTTTCTTGTGAGTCATGCCACTACAAGAAATTTTGATTGTTTTAACAAAATTATTTATTACTAAAAGTATTAAATTTGTCACAATATATTTATTCTGACCAATTTTATTTATTACCAAGTTTGTTAGAACAACCTTGTCATGTAAAATATATTGTGACAAAATTGTGTTCGTTACCATTGTATAGTATTTATTGTAACAATGAAATTTCATTACTATAATTAACTTATCACAATAAAATATTTGTCACAATCAATTAATTATTCTATCACGAGAAGTACATTTTGTCATAACTAACTTATATTTAAACATCAAATATAAAGGGTTTTTATGACGAAAATACATAAGTCAACAAAAATTATTTTGTCACATTTACTATTTCGTCACTAAATGTAAGTTACAGAGACAAAATATTTATTAAAATAAATTAATTATTTTATCGCAAAAAGTAAATTTTGTCACAATTAACTTAAGTTATAATATCAAACAAAAAAAAAGGTTTTTCGTTACAAAAAGACATATTACAACAAAATTTATTTTCTCGTTACTTTTATTTCGTCACTAAATATTTTTTTATAACTTTTTAATGTGACTAAATAATTTGTTACAATTTTTTATTGTGAAAGAATATTACTTGTCACAAATATTTATAATGAGAAATTAATATTTGTTATAAATTGTTATTTTTATTAAATAAATTTGTCATTTTTTATTTTAACAAAATATTATGACAAAATAAATTTGACATAATTTTTTACTTTGATTAAATTTAATATGTTATTGTGACTAAATTATTTTGTTATAATTTATTATTGTGAAAGTATTACTTGTCACAATTTTTTATATTGTTTTCCGTAAATGATCTATCATGCGTCCAGGAGTAGCCACAACAATGTCAGGCATCAATCTCAAAGTTGTCTCTTGTGCCTATAGAGATGACATGAGATAATGTAAGCATATGAATGCAAATAATTAAACAAAAAGTTGACATCAGCTTCCAAAAATAAACAGGTTTTTTTATAAACCAGTCAAACAATTAAGAAAATGGAAAGGGTGATCAATGATTATAGCTTTTTTGCAATAGTGGAGGAAGTTTCAACTGAGTTAAAGAAACAATTAAAAAAAGAGTAATGAAAGGATCGGACATATAACTTTTTGCCTGTATATAAAATGAGTGCAAATTAAGCCGGCTAAGGGGTTGTTCTGAATGATTCAGAGTCATTATCAAATAGTATGTCACATTCAGAGTTAATTCATACAGAATCTCTGAATCATTCAGTATTTGAATCATTCAACGCATAATTATTCTGAAGTAAACAAACAGCCCCTAAGTAAGTAAATCAATAGGTCAAACCTTTAATGAAAGCCCACCAACAATCAGACAACATTGAATATCAGTATACTGAGCATGTTTCTCTATCATCCTGTGAACCCTGCAACAAATGAATGTAGAATAAGGTTTAAACCTCAACGAATCTCCAAAAATACACATGAAATATATTTTTAGTTTTCAACAAACTTGAAGCATAAAAAGATCGAACAAACAGACTTAGAAATGTTTCCAATAAACTAGTAAAATGCAAAAACCAGTTCACTGGTTTATGATAACATAATTCCATTATAAAAATATATATATTAGTTTACTTACACTATGCCAGAACAAAGAAAGCAAAATCCTGAATAAATCTGTGATAGAAAGCTGAAAATGTTCAAAAGATTTTATAGTACTTACTGAACGACCAACTCTCTAGCAGGAGTAAGGATAAACCCTTTTAGGACGGAATAACAGCCTTTCCAGTATAGGTAAGGCATACGCAGCAGTCTGCATTATGGGAAAATTAAAAGCATTTCAATAAAAATCAAAGCTTCAATCGCAAATTAATGGCATAGAAAGAGATAAAGATCAAAAGAAATATACCTTCCCAGAACCAGTAACTGCACTCCCACATATATCGCTTCCAGTCAAGGCTAATGGTATACATGCAGCCTATTGAACAAATTACCCAAAAACTCATTGATGAAAACTCAATTAAAGAAGCGAGAATTATGAAATCAAGTAAAATAAAGACCTGAATAGGGGTAGGCTTGGTGTAACCCAATGTTTCACAAGCTCGAATCAAAGGACATGAGAGATTGAGCTACATGAAAGAATTCGCATGAAAGCAACGGCCATAAAAAATGTATTCTAGTTTTTTTTCATGTTCGATATTCTTGTTAAATTATTATTTCGTTCCTAGCTTACAATTTCATTTTTTGTTTTTATGTAAATTCCATAATGTCTAAAAAAATAAATGTAAGTTAGGGATATAAGGTTACCTTGTTGTGGTGTTCGTCGAGGTAATGAGGTCGTCGGAGAGAGGGAACCATAGTGGGTATTGATTTGGGGTCGGAGGGCTACCGCGTATGGTGGTCATTCCATCGCTTGGTTCTCGGTCGAGGAGAGGAATTATAGTGGGTCTTGTTGATGATTAAGATTTGTTTTCTTTGCGTTCCTTACATCTTATGAGTTAGTCGGTCGGAATAGAAATGGCCACCCATATCCAGTGGCCTAGAGTCGAGGGCTTCGGTTCGTTGGTGGAGGGTATGTCGCAGCGAGTGAAGAGAAGAGGGAGATGGAATGTCAGGGTTGAGTATCGGGCAGATTAAAAATTAAGGGAGGAATATATTTTATTTTGTTATTTTGGAGAAAATCACAAGAACATCCCTGGACCTTTAGCGTGTTTTATGTTTCAGTCACCAATTCGTGGGATAATTATCCATAAGTCCCCTAAATTTAGGAATCATTTATTAATTAAAAAATAATTTTTTTGTTTTAATTTTTCTATAACAATAACTATAAAACTTTTATTATATAATATTTTTAGCACCAAAAAATTGGAAGAAATATTTCTGATAGTATAATTTTTCATAATAATTAAAATATATAACTACAAAAATAATTGATTAAAATAACTTGAATTTTATTATCTAATATGATAATTTTTTCTATAACAATAACTATAAATTATAATTACAAAACTTATTAATATAACTTTTTGAAACAAAAAATGGAAAAAAATATTTATCACAATATATGTTATCACTGTAATTAAATTTATAACTACAAGTATAATTTATCACAAAAATGTGAATATCATTTGTTTTTGTGACAATATTTTTTTGTAATAATTATAAACACTATAGTTACAAAAATTGTTACTGTATGATTTTTTTTTGCACAAAAAAATATGGAGGAAAATCTTTATGAAAATATATTTTGTTACTATATAACATTTTTGACACTAAAAAATAGAGAGAAATGACTCTTATAGTATAATTTTTCATAATGATTAAAATATATAAGTACAAAAATATTTTATTACAAAAAACTTAAATTTTATTATTTGATGTGATAATTTTTCTATATCAATAACTATAAATTATAATAATAAAAATTGTCAATATAACTTTTGAAACAAAAAGTACAGAAAAAAATAATTATGACAATATATGTTATCACTATAGTTAAAATTTATAACTATAAATATAATTTGTCACGAAAACGTGAATAACATTATTTTTTGTAACAATATTTTTGTAATAATTATTAACACTTATAATTATAAAATTTGTCACTATGACTTTTTTGACGCAAAACAATATTGAGAGAAATCTTTGTGATAATATATTTTGTCACTATAATTAAAAGATAAAACGATAAAAATTATATTTTACTAAAAACTTGAATCTCATTATTTGTTGTGACAATTTTTTTGTAACAATAATTATAGCTTATAGTTACAAAACATGTCACTATATGATTTTTGTAGATACCTATTTTTGTCCGGGTTATAAATATTATATTATAATAATTATTATTTTTATTATTATATTATCTGCTACGCGAGGTGACACCTCGGATGGAGTCACCCCAAGTCAGCTACAAGACAGAAAACAAAAACAAATCAGCCATTGAAAATCCTACACAACAAAGTCAAAAAATAAATCCCACCAATTTCTTACTTAAACCTTGAAAATTTTGGGATTTCTACTTACTGCATCAATCATTCATCATCCAACAATCACGCATGCAAAGACAAAATGGAGACAGATTAAAGGAAGTATTGGAAGAACAAAGAAAAAGGAGAGGAATCAACCATTAAAGAAGAAACCAGAGAAGAAAAAAAAGGTTTTTTAGCCTACATTCGAAAAAGAAAGGGAACACAAAGAGGGGTTTTCTTCTACTGGATTTGAAAAAGAAAAACAGGATGTAAAGAATTCTTTCCCCCTGTAATCAGGCATCAAGCAATGTAATAAGATGATACTCCCTCTCTTATTCGAAGGTAGTAGTAAACAAGGTTTCATTATTCCTTGTATTATATTTCCCATTTTTTTTACAACATACTATTTCTTTTTCTTTTGATTAATGATCTAACAATAAAAAAAGAGCGAGTAATTAATTACCTGAGAGTCAATGGAGTTCTCCTGACTCACAAAGTTCTCGTGATTCACTGCATAGAACAAGAAAACCCGATATGAAAAAGATAGAACAACCCAAAATCAAAATTAATCCATCAAAACCCAGAATAATATATATTAAAAAAAGAAAAGAAAATCCAAAGGAAACCTTACCTCTTCTGCGATAACATCCTTGGTGCCTTCATCAGAGGAAGTAAACGTCTTCAACAGTCGAAGGTAACGCTCTTATAATATCTCGGTTGGGGTTGTTTGGTTTTGTTTTAGAGTTTGGTTTAGGCCGATGTCGAGTAAATGGGAAATGATAGGGGTCGGTTCAGTTTGAAGTTTATTAGGGGTTGTCTAGTTAGAATCGATGTCGGTTCGGAGCAGGTGTGGCCAACATGGTATGGTGGCCGGCGAACGCTTTGGGTTCCAGTCATGAGTAGCATCGACTGAAGAGAAGAAAAAGGATGCAAAGGTGAGACGCTTGGTTTTGACCAGGGTTGGGGCTTTGGATGTCTCCGGTGTCAGTGAGTGATTACCAATCGTCGGCCATGAGTCTCTTGGGAGTGAGCAGCGCCGTGTGGTTTGAGAGGAGGAATGAAAGAAGAGGACAGAACGGCGCTGGGGAGATGTTTAGTTTTAGTAGAAATGGGATTTGATTTTAGGTTAGATATTAATCTAATATCTTAAATAGTGTATGAAACGGCAGTGTTTTAGGGGTAAGGGATCCATTTCAGCGCCTTGGTTGGATTATTTGCACAGTAAATCCTGGCCATGTTTTATAATGCATTTTAGTCCATGTTTCATGATTTGTTAAATTTCAAATTTTGTCTTCAAGTTATACGCATGCTATATTTTAGTCCTGGGGCTATGTTGTTTTAAGTTTTCGTTATGTTGCATATTCGACATAGTATTTTCATGGTTTTCATTTTAGTCTAGTGTAGTGTTTCGGGTCTATTATAATTTTAATGCCTAGAATGTGAGATTTTTGTGTTTTTTTGGCTTTTGTTTGTTTAACTAGCTGTTTCGGTCCCATATTATGTTATCTTTAATTTCTTGCTATTATTTTTTAACTTGTATTTTTGACAGATTGTGTTTTAGCCCCCATATTTAATCATTTTAATTTCTAACTTATTTGTACGTTTGAAATATCATTTTAGATTTTTTTTATTTAAATCGTATGAATAAGCTTATCTTAACATTAATGTTTGGAATATGGCTATTATGTTTCGTGATTTAAAGTGGGCATAGTTTCTAATTTTAACCCCAAATTTACTCCCTTTGTATTTTAATCACTATATGATACCTTTTCTCTTTTGTAAATATATGTTCTTATTTTTGCATGTCTTCACGTTTCATACACACATTTCATCTAGAGTAGGTTGCATTTGTGTCCCTGTAAATATATATATATATATATATATATATATTATAATTAGGCTTAAGTTTGACTTTAATATTCTTGAGTAAATATTAATTGAAGCATGTTGAATATTTCTTTTAAATAATTATGTGAATTTACATTGGGTATTTATTACATGCTATATTTAGATGCTATGGTTACACATGTTCAAACTTTTTGTATTTAATTTAGATGAGATAGTGTAGTGCCTAATTTAATTTCCATTTTATTCATTTGTGTGCATATAGGACTAGTGTCATTTATCTTATTCGAATACTATTGTATGATTTGTATGATATCCTCACGTGCATAACTCGACATTATTACATAATTGGATTAAGGGTAATACCCTTCTAATTTAGAATTGTTTTAAGTGGGTTGTCTTAACTGATTAGAGATTCGCTTTGACGATTTTAAATTAAAAGTGTATCATATCAAGGACACCTAAAAATTGATTTATCACTTTAAAATTTGGGATTGAAAGAAAAAGAAATGTTTGACTATTTAAATTTGTTGAGAAAAGGAATCCCAAATTTTTTGAAACGATAGGTTTTTTAAATCGCATTGTTTTTAATTAAAAATTCAATCGTAAAAAGAATAAATTAAAAATTGTGTGGTTTTCAAGATCTCGCCCCTACGCTCCCCTCGAAAAAAAATCGTTTCAACAGCTTGGCGACTCCGCTGGGGACTTTTTTAGAGAGTCAGGCCAATAGTCGATTAATTAATTGTCTTTGCAAACGAAAGTTAGAAGTTCGTTCTAATTTGGTTTTTGATCCTTTTTTGTTTTTGTTTGCATTTTAATTTGTGATTTGGTTAATAAATAAATAGTTGTACTAACGTGTGATCTACATGTTTCAGTTTTCTGACCTTCACTTTAGTTTGTTGTGTTTCTTGGATCGAGGCAAAAGATTATGAGTTTCCCCTCACTGTTGCTAAACCTTTAATATTTAGAGCCTTCTAACTGTGCTCTGTCCCGTTAGGTAGGGGTAAAAGCTAAGCTTACGTGAGAAAAATTATTTTTCTCCGCACGGGCTTTAGCTAGTAACCTCTGGGGTACATGCCTTATGTCTACAAGAGAACATTGAGTTTCCTCGCATGGATATAGGGAAATGTATCCCCTCGAATTGAACTTGATTTGTTTTAAGCCTATAATAGGTGAGAATCGAGGGTGGCAAGCCCAAGGGGGCACCAACAAAGGACAATTCGAGGGCCCTGTTAGTGTTACCAAAACTCTACTGAACCTCTGTCTGTGGTTCTTCAGAAGTCACAGAGGGGAAACTCATTCTAACCTTTTCCTCGAATTTATTTATTTTTGCATAAAGTATTCGAACTAGAGATCATGTGGTTAGGTTTATTTTTCGAACAAGCATGTGAATTAGATATCATGCGGTTAGGATTTTTTTTTTTTTTTGTGAATGACAAAACATGTGGGTAGATATCATGTTGGGTAGGATCTACTAAAGCATGATTGGATAGCCAGCATGTGAGGGTAGGTTTTATTTGATGTTTACGGTACCTACTATCTTGTTGTTTATCTTATGTGTACTAACCCGTTTTCGTTCTGTCTGTTTTATTTTGATTTTATTGTATTTGCATCCTCATGTCATCAAGGGGTGTTAATTCGCAAGTGATTGACTAACAAGAAGGCTGACCATATTGAGGCAAGAAATTCTCCACCATGTAGTCAAAATCGGGAGATCCAGAGATGTTCAAACGATCCATGAAGAAGGACCCCCGATGAATGAAGAGATCTGAAGCTGATTGAAGAAAATGTGCAAAGGCCAAGATGTTGACTCAAGGGATAGATACAGTCATACCAAGGACGAGAAGACCCTTCATAACGACACGAAGACCACTTCACATTGAAGGTAAGAATGAAGATTTCAAGATTCAATTTAAAGACATCCGATGTCATCAAAGGTGATAAAATATGCCAACAATTTTGGAGGTGCAAT